GTGTCTAATTGACAGCAGCGGAAGCCCAGGAGGTTACCCCAGAGCGAGTTGCTGGGGTCGGCGAATGGCAGTTTAGGAGCTTCAGTACAGGAACTTAGTGTTGTTATCCTTTTCTAAAGAGAAAGTCCAGTATAATTGCACATTTACACCCCCCCCCAAAAAAAAAGAGGCACCGAACAGCTTTTTTCCTCCTTTCCAGAGAAGAGCTGAGAGCTGACAGAAAACCACGCACATACCCGGCTGAAGGGGTGCGGCGAGTCCAGTCCCAGCCCTTGCCGCGGGGTCAGGGCTCCTGCAGAGAGAGTCAGTGCTCCGGGTACCACTGATAGGGCGGGCGAAGCTCACAGAGAAGTGAACGCTTGCGAACGCTCGTCCACGCCGCCCCGGGGTTCCAGCACAGTGCCCGACCTCACTAATGACTTCACCTAAGGGACACTGCACAGTCCTAAGCCTCAAAGTGGGTGGGCCTTGCCAGCACACACCTAGGTGTGCCTGTGTTTCTAAGTAGCAGCTGTCGCTGCTGTCACTGACGAGCTCGGTGTTCTCTGGGCGCCTCCCACGTGACGTGAGCGTGGCTCTGGCGTGCCCTGCCCCGTAGATGCCCTTCCGCAGGGAGGGCGGCTCTAGCATTGCAGGACTGCGCGTGTAACTCAAGGACGCCCCACTGCTCTCACCGTCCCGAATTAGACACTCAACTGAGGAGGTTATTCAGACACAATTCCAATCCACTCCTGTAGCCCCCCCAGGAAACACGACTGAGTGGTCAGCTGACAGGAAATGTGAGTGAGGACAGGGAGACAGAAAACGCGACGCCCACAGTTCCCCCTAGTCAGCTCACGCCTACAGGAACGTGGGCGGAAAAGGTGCTTGCGTGACCCAGCTGCGTCTGAGCCTTTCCTCTCTCTGGCTGCCTTTATTGGGGTGTCGGGATGACAGGTGGGACCCCTGTAACTACGCACTCGTCCACAGAAACCCATGGCACCCCCAGAACCCACTATGAGAAGACAGTTTCCAACATGGGTGAATGCATCCATTCTTTTTCTCCTCCAACACAAAGACACATTCCACCTTCTAGGTAACGCTGCCGTCTCACAAAGCCCAGCCAGTTCAAGACCGCAGGGGCGAGGCCCACTGAGCACCTGCCCATGAGAGGCCAGAGTGAGCACGTGCAGAGCCTCCCCGACGGCCATGGGGAGCCCCAACCTCCTGCCAGTGAGAGGTACACAGAGGTGGCCGCGCCCCGTCTGGAGGACGTCCTCTGGCTCCTACTCACACACGCGCGCACACACAGACACAGGTTAGACTGTTAGAACTACACGTCTCGCAATTCCTAAAAATGGAAATAAATAAAGGAATGACGGCTACATTTGCTTTATACAACCAAGGACACGTCTTAGACTTTAAATTCATCTCATTCACAAAACTTTCTTTTTCCTTCGTTCTTATTTTAAAAGCGAAGACATCTGTTTCCGGCGGCAAAGGCATTGAAGCACGATCAGGGGCAAGGAAAGACCCAGGGAGCTTAGCCCTCCACGAAAGAGCGCCCAGCCACCGGACGAAGCGAAGGCCCGGGCAGTGCCGCCTGCTCCCGCCCGCCCTGAAGGCAGCCTGGCGGCAGAGGCTGGGTGCGCTGGAGCAGTCCTGTCCCGGGCGCAGTCGCGGGC